TTAAACGTGGCTCCTTAGACTATAGGACACTCACCAGCACGCAGTTGACGGAATCGCCCCGTAGATCGGCGTCTGGGGCCTGCAGCAAGTTCCAGTCTCTTCCCTTGTTGTACGTGATGAACGTCTTCACTTGGTTGTCAATCTTCTTGTTCGCCAAGAACATCCCCTTTATCCCTGCTACCTGGGAAAAATGGATGCAGCTGAGAAAACTAACAGTTTCAGATGGTATTTAGAGTGATACTATAACAGAATATAGATATACACAGTATATAGGGACACCGCCCTCTGCAGGCTCTGCATCTTCCCACCTGTCTCCGCGTCCCGCCCCGGGTCCTGGCAACCATTGATGTCACTGAGTGGCCCTTATACATCTCCCTGGGATGCTATGGAATGCTAAGGGAGCTGCAGCAACACTGCAAATATTGTCGGTGGTGCATACTAAGGGGGGGGGGAGATGTGTGTCCCGCTTAGTTCCTGGCAACCAGTGACATCACCGTTTGCCAGGAGCTGAGCAGGATGCCAGCCAGAGAGTCCCGCTAAGGTCCTGGCAACCAGTGATGCCACTGATTGTGAGGAGCTGAGCAGGAAACCGGCCAGAGCATCCCAGGTTGCCCAGCTCTTAGCAACCTGGAACACTCTGGCCGGAAAGGGGGCATCAAGCACATGGCTATGCCATAATGCCTGCCGCCCTCAACGTAACCAAATGAGATGCCTCCTGAGGCAACAGCCTCAGGCTGCCCCAAGGAATGGCCCTCGTTCCTTACATATAGTGATTTCTTTTATTCTGTACTTTTTACTCCCAAGATATCTTTTTTATATCTGATGTGTAGCATGTGGGCTACAACTGCATTCCATGTGTACAGTCTTGTATTGTAGAATGATAATAAAAGCTTCACCCTAAACCTTGAACCTTTAGTACAAGGTGCCCCCATAACACTGGTTTGGTCAGCATTCTGGGTTTCCTAAGCAGAGCGCAAAGCAGTAGCTTCTGCCTTTGAGACTGCCAATCTTTAATTGAAACAATGTTTATTGTAAATCCATTGTGACAATGTAACACAATGTATTGGAACTGAAAAAAGCTATTTTTTAAGCATATCTACGCTGAGAAAGGAACACTTTGTAATTCTGAAGCCTTTAATTATGTTGTGACAATGGATTTGGAATAAATATTGCATGCATTTGCATGATGAAGGTGGTGAGTAGGGATGAACTCAGGTCCGAGCCTGAACTCCTTGAAACCCGGAAGGGATTTTCTCCCACTGCTGCCCAATCAGCTGAAGCCAGTAAATTACCCGTCCTGCACATAAGAAAAGGGGTGGGATCCCGGGACATCATTGGTCTAATATGGTCATATAAGGTCAATGATGTCAAACATTCCATCCCTGGAGCTTTGCCTTAAACTGGCTTAATTTCCCGCGACAGGATTGGCATTTTGTTGATCTCTGTTTATGTGCTAGAGGTGCATCCAAAAGGAGTAAACACAGAGATAAATAGATGTTCATATGGCACACTTATTAGTGAGCCTTGAGGTCTCTCTGACATTCTCCTTCAAGTTGGTTGCGCAGTATGACCTGTGCAGAGGTGAGGTTCCTTTTAGACCGAGGAACTTCTGCACCACCCTGACATACCTCGTAGAGGTCGATCATGACGTTCCCCTCCGGGCTTTTTATGCTCATGACATTTTCTAGCGCCAATGTGAAGAAGATCCCCCTGGTGTCGGAGATGTACAGGTTATATGTCTCGTTCTGATTCCACTCTTGGATGGCGACAAAGACTTGGTTTTCATCCGTGCTGATGACGTGCATGTCCTGGTGGGAGGAGGAGAGATAATTAGGGCTTAAAATTGAACTCCCGACACAAAAATATTTTGCACCCACTTCCTGTCTTCATGCAATCCAGCAATGGCTGCATAACATTTTTAATGGCGGGTTTCCTGATGTTAACAACAGTGGTCCATCTCTGTGTATTAACAAAATAGCGATTGTGTTGCGCTAGGCTTCAAATAGCCTTACGTGAAAAAATATATACAAATGTATCCAACTGTTCTAAGAGGCGCGTTCTTACATAAATACTGAATATTTTATACTTCAACAAAAAAAACTTTGACCGTGTGAAACCATCTCTGTTAGACATGTTCACTGCCAAAAAATTTGTTTCGTTTCGTTTTAAATTCGGATTTGTGTTATTTCGTTTTTCAGGATTCGGGTGTGAAAGTCAATTCGGATTCGGGATTCGGACGAAATTCGGTAGCGTTAGTACGAACGTTCGTTTCGTTTTCTGTTCTTATTCGTTTCTTATTCGTTTCGTTCGTTTGCAGCAAAAGTGACATTTGAGGGGGAAAAAATATTTTTCTCCTTTTCTAATGTCACTTTGCTCCAACGAACGAAACGAATAAGAAACAAATAAGAAACGAATAAGAACAGAATACGAAACGAACATTCGTACGAACGCTACCGAATTTCGGAAATGGAAATTCGGATTCGTTTGCATTCGTTATGTCTGTAATTCGGAATTCGGATACATCCGAATGTCCGAATTTCGATTCGGAATGAAACGAATCGCACATGTCTAATCTCTGTATTGTGTGGAAAGAGACACTTCTAGTTTAAGTCAGAAGCTTGTGTGACTGGCTGACAATGCAGGATCACTATTCAGAGATAGGGACAGAGTGTTGTCACCTTATTACAGGAAGTGCTTCTACATCGCACCTTCTTGGATTTTCAGTGGTACATTTCTCACCAATGTTTTTTTTTTATTTTGTACGTTCAAAGTGGAGAATTCAACCCGCAAGGTCTGCACACCGTTTGCCCATTATAAGAAGTTCCCACCATCCCCGTGCTGAGTTCCCGGGTCTGTACACCTTCTGTGCCCATTATGAAGGGCTCCCACCATCCCCGTGCTGAGTTTCTGGATGTGTACACCTGCTGTGCCCATTATGAGGGTCTCTCACCATCCCTGTGCTGAGTTCCTGGGTCTGTACACCTGCTGTGCCCATTATGAGGAGCTCCCACCATCCCTGTGCTGAGTTCCTGGGTCTGTACACCTGCTGTGCCCATTATGAGGAGCTCCCACCATCCCTGTGCTGAGTTCCTGGGTCTGTACACCTGCTGTGCCCATTATGAGGAGTTCCCACCATCCCTGAGCTGAGTTCCCAGGTGTGAATACCTGCTGTGCACATTATGAACGGTTCCCACCATCTCTGCTCTGAGTTAATGGGCTGCACACCTGCTGTATGGATTATGAGGGGTTCACACCATTCCTGAGCTTAGTTCCCGGGTCTCTACACCTGCTGTGCCCATTATGAGGAGCTCCCACCATCCCTGTGCTGAGTTCCCGGGTCTGTACACCTGCTGTGCCCTTTATGAGGAGTTCCCACCATCCCTGTGCTGAGTTCCCGGGTCTGTACACCCGCTGTGCCCATTATGAGGAGTTCCCACCATCCCAACTGGAATGTGACAGAAAGAGCAGAAACACACAACAGTAGACAGGAACAGAGTTGGGAATTATGGCAGGGAGACCTCACTGTTACATTAAGTACCCAAGGCATATAAGAAGCCAAGCACTGACTCAGCCTGCCATTGCTTTTGATTGAACCGGCCCTTTAAACAGTGTTTTTCACACAAAGGGCCCGGGGGGACCTTTAGCTGGGAACAGATAACCCGCCGTACACACAGGGGACTTATTGTACACTTCCCAAAATTTTCAGCTTGGGAAAAAATGTCGCTTACACAAATAAAACAAATATATTATTATGATTAAAACAAAATAAAAATCAGAACATCCGGTGAAATCAAATAATTGATTAGAATATACACTGAGTGGCCAGATTATTATGACCACCCCATCAGTACTTCGTTGGGCCGCCTCGTGACTCCACAAGATGATGAAAGGTGATGCGAGGAATCTGACACGGCACTGTTGTCCTTCTGTTGTCTTGTACCTGTCTTGCCGCTCTCCGTTCTGCCCTCACATTGACTAGTCGCTGACGGCCACAATTCGCACATTCAGACCCAGATTTTCGGCTGACAGTCCGGTCTTTAAACACTTTAACAATGAGCCCCTCTTGAACATTTACCGAATTCTGCTGTTTTGCTGATACTCGCTCCATGGCTCCGAGCGCCAACAATCATCCCACGTTCAAAGGCTGTTAAATCGCGTTGTTTCCCCGTATCTTCAGAAACAAATCACTTCTACTGTCGTGGTAACCAACCTGCTTCCCTATTTATAATGGTCTGGCCCTCTAGCAACTTCAGCGCCAAATTATAGCTAATTTGCCTACAAACGTCAGGTGGTCATAATAATCTGCCCACTCAGTGTATGATAGACATGAGACATTGAGACAGGAGCTCATTGTACGGTCCCTGGCAGTCAAATGTGTTCTTGTAAAACACGTTCGGAATGAATCCTGTATGACCCTTCCCTTAGAAAAGGCGAAACTTCAATATTGAATCTAAATATTAGTCTGAAATAGTTCTGGTAAAGCTAATATTTGTTCTGATTACGGGAGATTATTCCTGAGCTAAATGAAATCTGCACACCCATCCATTCCTCGTATAATGTGCTGAAATCAAATATAACACATTAGAACAATTTATCCGAATCATCCCACCTACATCTAGCAGGAAACAATCATTAACCACTTTAGTACCGACATGTTACATCCCATAGATGGCAGGATGGACCAACCGTTGGATGTGTGGCCCCGGCATCTCATTAACGAACACTCGGCTACACAAACTAGGCTTGCCTAAGCACACATGCCAAGTTACATGATGGACTATCCCTTTAATAATCACTGGGACAGTAATAACACTCCTCAAGATGAAATTTGATGTTTTCACAAAGTTATCTTTTTTATGAGACACACAGCATGGACACACTTAGAATTACACCCCAAATACACATTCTGCTACCCCTCCCGCCTATAGGGGATACCACATGTGTGAGACCTTTTCCCAGCCAGGCTGCTTATATTCAATAAAAATAAATAAAAAAATTAAGTTTTTAATTGGAAAAGGTTAGAAAAAAAAACATATTCGGTTTCGGCCTGACATATTATTTTTCATTTTGGTTTCGTTTCGGTTTTGAAAATTTTATTTTGGTGCACCTCTAAAAAATTTTTTTACTTTTTTATCACTTTTTTTTTCTTTTATACAGTTTTAATTTCTTTATTTTTCTAATTTTACTATCTTTTACTTTTTATACTTTTCATTATTATTTTTTACTTATTTTTTCATAAATGTTTATTTATTTGATAATTTATCAATTTTTATTTATTTTTTTCACTTAACTCCGCTCGCAGCTACTCATGCTTACCGCATATTCATATTCACCGCTGCCGCCCGCAGTGTCTTTTGTGGCAGCGGTGGATAGAAGATGTAGCGCTGCGGGGGTGTGGCCTGTCAGGGGGGGGGAA